GGCAAGGGGTGGCGGCTGGGGCAGGGAGCCTCGCGTGGGGCGCGGTCCCCCACGGGAGTGGCAAGGGGTCCCACACGGAGAGGACCCGCGTGGGGAGGGGTCCGCCCTGCCTCCACCCGGGCCTGTGCGCCACGGCGAATGAATGGGAGGAAGGTGTGCGCGGGAAACTTTCCTTCCCAGGGGGCTCCCCCGAGGGACCCTCACTGGGAGAGAACCTGGGGCTCACAATGGGGCCAGGCCCTGGGTAGCCACACTGGGTTCTCTCAGACCAGGGCCAGATCGTCCCCGGGGGCCTAGCGGTGCCCCCCACCCGGGCAAGTGCTATTGTTTGGAAGCGTCCAGCAGAGGTAGTCGGGACCCCTCCCCTAGGATGGCTTTCTGCGGGTCCCGCCTCCGCACCACTTTTCTAGGCGACTCAGACTCCACACCCGGGTTAGTCCTGAGCAAAGACGCCTGCCTTTCCCCCTGCAATCCCCGGGGGGGAGTCTATAGCCACCCCAATTTTGCCCCAGCCAAAGGTGCTCCCAGAAAGGAGCTGGGTCCCCACGACCCATAGGATCTTCAGGCGTCACCTCAGACTGGGGTTAGGCCTCTGCCACCCGCACTTAGGCTGGAGGGCTGATGCAGTCTCATTTTGCAACTGAGTTGTTGGCAGGGTGGTTGTTCAAGGGTGTGGATGTCGAAAAGGGGACCCCAGAATTGTGGGGTTGCTTAGGAGGCCAGTGGCAGGTGGCTGCTGCTAGAGATGGGCATGGTGGGGCCAGAAAGGCAAAGGTGTCAGGGGTGTCTGAGGAGTGGGCTCCCTCAGACCCCTGGAGGCCAAGCTGGTGGGGCATGCCTGCCACCAGAACCCCAGGCAGGCCAGGGCAGCTGAAAGAGACCAGGAGAGCAGGAAGCCACAGGGACAATGTGACAGTGGCTAGTGAGGACTCACCTCCGGGCTGACAGTCTGGGAGTCCCCAGTGAGGCCCAGGTCTCTCTCTGCATCCCTGGTGTTGTTTGCTGCGGGTCACTGCTTTGGTGTGGGGGTATCTCCTGGTCACTTGACAACAGACTCAGTAGGGCAAAAGGACCCTCTGTCCCACATCAACAGGCAGGCCCTCATCCCCCAGCCCAGCAGTCACTTGGACCCTGCTAGCTCTCGGCCATGGCTGAGATGGTGGTTCATTCCACCACCCTCTGGGCCCCAGCGCAGAAGACAAGCAGGAGGGACAGAGGGACATGCCATCACCCCCTTCACAGCTGCATCCTGATCCTGATGCAGTGGGACTAGAGGAGGGTGGGGGATCTTGTTCTGTTTGCCTTCAAGGAGGATGTCATTGAGGATGGATAGGAAGCCCACAGACAAGGAGAACAGCCCTGGGGAGTGGGCCCAGAGGCCCCCTCAGCTGGCCAGATCTTTCTGTCCGGGAGGAAAACTACAAAGGAGGGTGCAACTAACACCTATAAGCTGGATGTCGTGGCTCACGCCAGTATTCCTAGCTACTCTGGAGGCTGAGACAGGAGGATCCTTGCAGCCAACCTGGGCAGCATAGCGAGACCTCGGCTCAAAAACACCACCTCTGGCCGGTCTCCTCAGTATTCTGAAAATGCAGATCCATTGGGCTTACGGGCTTTGAAAGTGCTCTGGAACTCCTTAGTGAGACTCTTGGGTCCAGGGGGTGCACGGGGTGAGCGGACCAGTCATGTTCCACACCGGGCCTCACTGTAAGTGGGTCTCACAGAACAAGAGACGCCCCAGGGAGCGTGTGGAGGGGTGTTTGTGGAGCAGACATTGAGCCTGGGGGCTCGCTAGGCTCAGCTTGCTCCCACGCCCACGCTGTCTCTCGGGCCTTGCAGTTCAGCCTACGACGCGCAGCTGCGCCAGAAGGTGGCGGTGAAGAAGCTGTCGCGCCCTTTCCAGTCTCTGATCCACGCGCGGAGGACATACCGCGAGCTTCGGCTGCTCAAGCACCTGAAGCACGAGAACGTGAGTCCGCAACCCGCGGGGTGGGTGGGTCTTTGGGCGTGCCCAGGGGCGGGGTGCGTCCGAGATGACCAATGGAAAGTGGACCTATGGAGGGCGTGCCCAAAGGAGACTAATGAGTGGGTCCCTCAGGGTAAACCGCAGGGCGGAGCCAGTGGATGCATTGGTCGGTTTCTAATGGAGGAGACAAATACCACTGGCCCACCCTGGGCCATGCGTAGGGCTGAAACTGTCGGCTTCCCACCTGTGCAGGTCATCGGACTTCTGGACGTCTTCACGCCTGCCACGTGCATAGAGGATTTCGGCGAAGTGTGAGCAGCCTGGTGCACGGCTCAGGCTCTGTGGCGGGGGGGCGGGGGTGGTCCTGCCCCTGACCTGACCCGATTCCGCTGCAGGTACTTAGTGACCACCCTGATGGGCGCCGACCTGAACAACATCGTTAAGTGCCAGGCACTGAGCGATGAACACGTCCAATTCCTCGTGTACCAGCTGCTGCGCGGGCTGAAGGTGAGGGCTCGGGCTTGGGGCCAGGCCCCAGCATCTCGGGCCAGGCTCACCGTGCCTCCCCCCCCGCCCCCCCCCGCAGTACATCCATTCTGCCGGGACGCGGGCTGAAGGTGAGGGCTCGGGCTTGGGGCCAGGCCCCAGCATCTCGGGCCAGGCTCCCCGTGCCCCCCCCCCCGCCCCCCCCCCGCAGTACATCCATTCTGCCGGGATCATCCATCGGGTAGGTGCCTTCACAGGTGCGGGTCTCTGGCGGACTCCACCTGCGCTCATGCCCCACCCACCCCACAGGACCTGAAGCCTAGCAACGTGGCTGTGAACGAGGACTGCGAGCTCAGGGTGAGGGGCACTGGGGCTGGGGGGCGGTGGAGGCACCCGCAGGGCTTGAGGCCTGTGGTTCCCCCAGATCCTGGACTTTGGGCTGGCGCGCCAGGCGGATGAGGAGATGACCGGATATGTGGCCACACGCTGGTACCGGGCACCTGAGATCATGCTGAACTGGATGCACTACAACCAGACAGGTATAGTCCACCCTCAGCCTCTGCAGGCTGGGGACACTGGGAAAGTGAGGATCCTAGGGGCAGGCCTGGTTTTGAGGCACAGGCAAGATGCCTCAATTTTCGTAGGAGCCTCTAAAGCATGGTGGATGGTGGGTGGTGGGTGTCTTCTGCCCCTGGGGCCTGAGCCAACTCCTCCCTCTCTTCCAGGCTGGGTATGGAAGGGCACTTCTGTCTTTGGGCCTGGGTGTGACTGGGGGTCACTGGCTCCTCCCAGCTCCAGGGAAAGACTGAGGGTGAGCAGACTGATGCAGCCTCCCCACCTTCTTTGCAGTGGACATCTGGTCTGTGGGCTGTATCATGGCTGAGCTGCTCCAGGGAAAAGCTCTCTTCCCCGGAACTGACTGTATCCTTGGGCCAGGCAGGGGAGTGGGGTAGGCTGGAGTCTCTTTCCACAGGGTGGGGGTGGGCTCTGGACCATTCTTCTGTCCCCTACTAATTTGCCCTCAGGTCCCTGCTCTCTGTGCAGTGCCCCATGCCCCGGGGGCTGGGGGCTGGTGAAGGTCCATAGCTGGTCAGCAGGTGTTTCCTGAGCCAGGTAGACATTGACCAGCTAAAGCGCATCATGGAGGTGGTAGGCACACCCAGCCCTGAGGTTCTGGCAAAGATATCCTCAGACCACGTAAGTTTCTGCCCAGCCAGTCACCACCAGCTCCCTGCGCTGACCAGGCAGGGAGTGTGGGGCGTGGAGATGGATGGGCACCATGTGGAGAACATAGGCAGGGTGGGATAGGCCCAGACGAAGAAGATCCCAGCTCTCTCAGGGGTACAGGTGAATGGGGAGAACACTGGTGGAACAAGGGTCAATGAGGACAAAATCACAGCACCAATATCTGCTTTAGCCTTGGGGAGTGCGGTGGATGGGGAAGGGAGCGGTCTGGCCTAAGTTCCTGCAGGCCTCTGGGGCCCAGTGAAGTACTGAGCCACCATATACCAGGAGGAGTAAGTCTCTGGTCTGCCTGGCACCTGCCTGGACTGTTGGAAAGAATGAGTCCCAGCTCTCTGGTCAGGGAGGTAGGGGCCAAACAATGCCCCAGGCCCTTCTCATGTACCCCCAGGCCCGGACATACATCCAGTCCCTGCCCCCCATACCCCAGAAGGATCTCAGCAGCATCTTCCATGGAGCCAACCCCCTGGGTGAGGACTGGCCCTGGGGCTAGGCTGGGGTCTACCTCTGGCCTGAGATGTGAAGCTGACCCTTCCCACTGGCCCCCACCCTGCAGCTGTAGACCTGCTTGGGAGGATGTTGGTGCTGGACAGTGACCAGAGGGTCAGTGCTGCCGAGGCACTGGCCCATGCGTACTTCAGTCAGTACCATGACCCGGATGATGAGCCAGAAGCTGAACCCTATGATGAAAGCGTTGAGGCCAAGGATCGAACACTGGAAGAGTGGAAGGGTGGGCGCAGGGTGGGGCATGGAGAGGAGGCGGGGCCGTGCCTAGGTCCTGAGGGCTGTTTCACCTGGAGCAGGGTTTTGCCTGTTTCCTGCAGGAGACTCCCAGCATGGTCAGGTGGGGGAAGCACAGGGAAGGTCTTGGCTTTCAACTGGGTGGAGGCTGCTCCCGGAGGGAGGGGACTGTGGTGGTTTGAGCTCACCTTTCTCCTTCACTCCCAGAGCTCACCTACCAGGAAGTTCTCAGCTTCAAGCCCCCGGAGCCTCTGCAGCTGCCCAGCAGCCTGGAGATCGAGCAGTGAGACAGCGGGCAGGGCCACACAGCAGCCTGGGGGACCTGAGCTGCCCCCTTAGCCCTCAACCCTAGCCTGGGAGCTCCTGCCCTCAAGGGAGTCTACGGATGTGTGAGTGCGCAAGTGTGTGCCCACCATGTGTAAGAGTCGGAGCAGAACTCCCTGGGCCTCCTTGGTCCTCCCACCCTGTCCCAGCAACTAGGCTCTCCCTGAGACCTCACAGTGGGCGGACCTGGATGCCCAAGAAAGAGGCCTCCCTGGAACTGTGTCTATGTCCACATCTCCTCCGCCTTAGAGGGTATCTGGGGTGGGTGGAGGCCAAATGGGCCAGAATCCTGGAGACTGAAAGGGAAGGTGGTGGTTAGAGCTGCTCAGGTTGGAAGTGAGGGGCTGTCCTGGAAAGTACCAAGGTCTGCCACAAGTCGGAGAGCCACAGCAAGGCCAGTGCCCCAACAGGCTGGGCAAGATCCCTTGAGGGTGGCAAGGCAGGAACCACCACCACATGTCCAGTCAGAGCTCCCTGTAGCCCATGTTTTTGGTGCATGTTGGTACATATGTATTCCTTGTGTTTGCTGTCAGGGCAGGTGCAGGACTGTGTGCATGTGGGAGCCCCAGGGCCAGCGGCTGTGTAGCAGGAGGCCTGATCTTGGTGGCCTCACTTCCCTCCCCTACCCCCAGCTCCTCATGCCCAAAGGGTGCTGAGCCTGACCCTGTTAGGACCAGCCTAGAGCTCAGGGGCCCTGAGGCATCTGCATGAGCAAAGGCCTGGGCTTCCTCCTTGGGCACAGGAGCTATGGCAGGCTCCAGAGGACACAGTGCCAGCTGGGGGAGCAAGGGGTGCAACCTTGAGGATGCTAAGGCAGGCAGAGCACATGGGTGTGGACCTGGACACTCCACTCCTGCACCTTGGCCAAGAGCGGACAAACCTCTGCCTTCTTGCTACCTCTGACTACTGTTGTGGTCCTACAGCCAGAGACCTGGGGTGCTCTGGTATATGGGCCAGCCCTTGTCTTCCCTTCTCCCAGAATGGAGCCAACCAAGTAACCCCTGGGCCGGGACCCTGCTCGGAGACATGTTGGGGGAATGACTCATCCCTGGAGAGGGGGTGACTTCTTGCCTCCAGGGACCCAGGGAGGTCCAGATGTTAAGTGCCTGCACCAGGGATGCTCAATAAAGGGGGTACCCTCTTGCTCAGTCTGTGTCCCAGATTCCGGACTGCACCCTCATGGGCCCTGCTGCTTGGAGTGGGTAGATAGATAGATCTCCACACATCTTCAGCTGGTACGGCTCCCCAAGACCTGCACACTGTCCAGACGCTACATCTTAGTTACTTTTCTCATTTCTGAGACAAAATACCCAACACCTAAAGTTAAGTGGGGAAAGGTTTATTTAGCTCACAATTTATAGAGGTTTCAGTCTGTAATGGGCTGGCTCCAAGACAGGGTGGCTTGGCAGAGGGGCATCGCAGAGAAGAGTCATGGCGTGCACAAGCAACAAGGGACCCTAGTCTTTCTGCCCTTGTATCTTATTCAGGCTACTTAGGGAGGGTAACACTCATACTCTTAATCCTAGAGCCCTTGAGCCTAGCATTACACCTTGAATGAATTCCAGAGTCACATAGTCTAGATCCAGCCACCTCAGAAAAGGCTCTATCTATGACCACTTGAGGCTTTGGGGAACATCTAAACACAAGCCAGAATGTGGTTCTCCAGTGAGACCAGCAGCCATCTCTGGCTCTCTTGCTGCTCCCTGGGCCTGAGGCCAGGCAGGGGAGGATGAGGACAGCGGGCTCTGAGGAGCACTGGGCGTGATAGCCATTCACTGACCACACCTGCTCTGTAGGGGGGGACTCCATAGGCATGCTGGATCCTGGCCTAGATGCAGTCTTTCTCCTCAGTGGTCAGGGCAACTGGCGGTGGGGAGGGTGTCAGTTGGATTCCCATGGGAGCATAGATCTGCCCTTCCCCAGCAGCCAGAGGGAGTATCAGAAATAGCTGCTTTTTCCTTCCTGTTTAAGGACAAAAGAATTCATGGGATATCTGCTGCTCCTGCATGTTAGGCATGGGCACAGTCTGTGTATGCCCTTGTCCTGTGACTTGGACCTCCAGAGGCCTGGACAATGTGGCTGGGGGCAGCCCTGGAGACCAGGCTGGGCCAAGTTGGGTGTTTGGGCACAGGTGATAGGAACTGAACCGGGGTCCTGGCTCCACCTCAGGAGCCTGGTCTGATGCTGGCTCTGTGGGCGCTGCACAAAGAGTAAAGACAGTTTAGGGGTTTCCTATAGGGATGTGGCACAAAGGGCACAGGATACAGATGTCCCTGGCCCGAGTGACCCCAGGCTGCCTCTGCTGGCTGTCAGAGGCCGCTCCTGAATGCGCCAGTCACCCGTCACAGACCCAGGTGCAAAGCTGTCCTGGCCCAGTTTGGCTGCTGAGCTGCTGATTCATGGTGGGCAGGCGGGGCAGGGCCCCTGGGATCCTGTTACAACCAGCCCAGTGGGCTCCTGCGGTGGGCCCCACATCCCTCCTCGGATCTGTATCTGGGCTGTGGGAGGGCTGGGGGCTTTGGCCTCCAGGAGCATCTGGTCCAGGTCTGAGCCAGACCCCAGGGAGCTGCCCACCAGGAGGGCGCAGGGCCCTGGGCAGACAGCTTCAGGAGTGGGCTTTGAAGGACAGTCTGGGCAGGGGTGGGGAAGATGGTGGGAGGAGCACCCCACATGCCAGAGAGGGAGAGAGATGTGGGTATGATAGGGCCCAGGGGGACCTACAGTACCAGCCTTCTGCTCCTGGGAAGCTGGTGGGCAGCGGCCGCAGAGATGGGGCTGGGGATGTGCCCTGAGTAGAGACTGCATACTTCTTTTTCATATAGAAAGGGGGATGCCCAGGACACGGGTGCTGGGACACAGACCGACCAGCCCCAGCACTGGGGCACCCTCAGGGGTAAAATGGGGTGACTTCAGGGACAAAGGCCAGGGATGGAGCGGGGTGCCACGGGGGTGGTGTTGGGAAGGTGGCAGTGACCGCTGGACGAGGGAGGAAGCCATCCGGCTCAGGGTGTCTAGGCTGGGCCGAGTGCCCGGGAGGGGGGCGGTAAAGACGGAGCCCGAAGGGCTGGGCTAAGACCCGGGGCGGAGGTCTCGGGGTGTGGCCGGCGGGCCGAGCGCCCTCCTTAC